TGATATGAATGGCCCGTTTGTTACTTTTCAAGTTTGAGAAAAGATTTAAAAATTCCTACTGAATAATCTGTGTGTTGAGACCAGTAGGAAAGCAGTCTTTCCCAATCAACCCATTGTATTTTTTTGTGTTCGCCTTATCAATATTTGTTCTCTGTTGTTCTCTATTACTTTTCCTTTGCTCACCTGACCAGTACACTACCTGAGATTCAAGAATTCATATTTAGAATCACCTTCTGGTTCAACCACTTAAAACTGCTTACGAGTTACCAGCATAAATAGCTTGTATTTGGGCAAGTTAAAAGGACTTCTCTGTGCAGGAATGGAGAAAATTTAGGATGACTAAATCAGGCTCTGAGGTAAAGGCAGCGTCAGTATGCATCCTGTCACTAAAACAAGGGACCACACATTGGGGACCACTGGGAGCTAAGCCTTGCTTGCTCTACCAGTGCAAGAAAGGAATCTTAAAGTATTTTTACCTTTGAGATATGAAAAGCACTGGAATTGGGGTTATGAGGCATGAATTCTGTTATATAAGAGCCAAAAAGATAGACTATATAGACTGTTTAATTCCACAGTGTTGAGTAGTTCAAGGATTCTCTACCCATTGCATTCAAGGTGACACTGTATGACTGGAGCTATATGGTGAGTAGTGCTCAATTGTTGTAATTGCTAGCAATAGTCCTAGCTTGGTGTAACCCTTGTGTTTCAACTTCCTGTCACATAACATAAGGTTCTTGGGGGGAAAGTGTGCTTTTGAGTTCTTAGAGCTTTTACGTGCTGTCAAAGCATATAAAAACGAACACACTGCCTTCTTTCTTGGGTTAATTTTCTTCATAGTAGTTGACACCCTTTTTTCTCAGATTCTTGGTTTTTGTTATGTGTCTTGCTGTCCATTCCCTGCCCCCAGCACCCTCAACTCACTTCTAGGCGCAGACATAGAGACTTTATTTGTATTGCTTATTAGAACCTAGGATAGTGGCAGCACATGATAAATGCATAATAAACGCAAACATTGGCACACGTAACATGTGTTGTCTGTGAATCTGTAATGTAGTTACATAAATATGCCTGTATGAAGACTTAGGTAGTCAGTTGATTATGCTCTTCTTTGCTCCTACATCCCACCCCAAAATACACCATCTTACTGTTGTTACAGAGATTTTAAGACTAGAATTAAGAATAATTCTATTGTATGTAAGGAGCTGTGGTGGTTTCCTGGCTAAAACTCCTAACTCAAAGGTCAGCTGTTTTAAGGGGGAAAGATGAGACCATTTGCTTCTGCGAAGATGGACAGCCTCAGATACCCCATGAGGCATTTTTACTCTCTCTTGCAGCATCACTGTGAGCAGAATTGGCTTAAAAACAGTGGGTTATCGCATCTGTTTTAAAACTTAGCCAAGGTAGCAGTGCCAGGCTCTCATCTCGTGGGGCAGTTATATTAAAGGACAGGGACTTCCGTTATCAGAGGACGCTTACTACTTTAAGACCAAGGACCATTAACTGATAGGGTGACGAGCTTAGCATCTGTGGTGCATGTTGGAATCCACTCTGTTCTGTTTATATACAGGGTGGAGATGGCTGGCAGGAGACGAAATCTAACTCTTAGAATTCGTCTGCTCATACATATTATTGAGATTTCATATTGCTTTTATTATTTGGCCACAAAAATGGACATAATCCTTGTTGGCTTTAACATACCTACTAGTGCTGCTTTCGCTATCCATCTTGCAAAATATAAGACAAGGCCAGAGCTTAAATTAAAATCCTCGGCTTCTTATCTCCTTCCCACAGGAAAGCAAATCTGTGTTGAAAACCGTAAAATTAAGAGGAGCAAGGATAGCATAATTTAGCAAAAATTCATGGCACCAGAGTCTGAGCTATATGACTGGAGGGATAGGTCAGACATTAAGAAGATACAGCCTGCTAATGCAAGTTCCTTAAGGTGGTGCTCTGAAAACAAGAAAGGCATGCAAAATAAATGTATTTCCAAAAGATTTCTTCTCAGCTGCTCTTTAGAACTACCCTAAGAAATTATCTTTGTAGGTTTGATATTACTCTTCTTATGAGACTTAAGAAATGAGACTCAAAACAGTTATTCTGGAGTTCAAATACATTTTTTTTAGAGATTTTTTGTTTCCATTTTAAAAAGGGTTTATATTATGTTCTCCTATCCCCACCCCACCCCCATCTCCTCTAGAAATCTAAATGCCTGTATGTAAGAAGCTCACTGAGTGGATTTGGTGAACTGCATCATTAACACTTAAAAAGCATCCAAACATTTTTTAACCTTTAACAAATTTATATGCATGGATATCTATGCTAAGGTGCATACAGGAAAACCGTGTGGCTTTGATAATGGTGCTCTAATAAATGCCACGGGCTATACAAGCTGTACAAATTTGTCATTAGAGAAGAAGAGCTGGTGGTTGTAAAACGGAGAAAAGCTAATATGGAAATTACATCATTGTCTAAAAAAAGTGTTATCCCCCCTTTTGCCCTTTCCCTCCCTTATAAGTTTCTTTTGGTGTAGGTTGTAATGATAGGTTGTAAAGAGAATTGACAGTAGCAGTAAAGAGAATTAAATCTTACTACAATAATTGTTCTTAATTTTCCTAAGGGTATTCTTAACCCAGTGGAAGCCATATACTTCTTTAAACCTAATTTGCAAAAATATAGCAAGTAGGAAATAGGTACATATCATAGCCATATACATAGGTGTTACTGGGACCCTTTAACCAGGTCTGATTCATGTGTATATTTTAAGCACTTTACACATTACTCAGTTTTAAAAATATTTCTTCAGGACTTTTGTTGGTGTTTTGTTTTTTGTTTGGTTTTTTTTTAATGGATTTTTGGAGAAACTGATTTAATGCACATTTTCATATGTGGTATAATAAAATGTCTCTAATTCAAACTAATTATGGTGTATAGTAATGTCTGAACTAGTGAGTTAGAGGATATTCAGTATTCACTCTTTTCACTTCTCTTTAAATTCACAAGTTACTCAATACTACTGTGAACCTAAATAGCTATCTTCTGAGACTAAGTTAATAGATGACTATAAAATTAGAAACATATTTGCATGTGTAAATTGTGAATTTCCTTTCTCTTCTTATTTTTTTTGTGTGTCTAGTGTTGAGCTTCTTAAAAATGATCAACTTAATTAGGGAATTCCCTGCCTTGTTTACATTATTGATTACTTAGCAAGCACTTTCTTGAAAAAGTAAGCTTTCAAAATTAAATTTCTGCCTTACTCAGTCAAAATTATCAGAGATTCCAGGGTAAGGAGTTTCAAATAAATATCCTGAACTTTTGTTTAACTCTTAAGTACTTCTAAGCTTCCAAATTAAATAATAAAAATGATGATCTTTTTTAAATACTGATTTATTTACAAAGTTTGAATACATTGTTTTTCACAAAAGAACCTTACTCTTACCTTCACTCCCTTCACCCATGAATTGTACAACCCTGTGATTAACACCCCCCCAACATCCTCACCTCTCTGCTTCTACCCCCTCCCCAACTCTTGGATCCTCATACTCATTCTACATTAATGGTTTTATACAGTATTTGTCCTTGTGGGACTGAGTTATTTCACTGTGCATAATGCTCTCCAGTCCCTTCCAAGTTAGGTAGTGATTTACAAAATCATTGCTCCTGCGTGTTGTGTATGAATGTACCACAACTCAATCTGTTCCTTTTTTGTTAGACACCTGGGCTGTTTACTTGTTCTTGCAATGGTGAATAATGCTGCTGTGAACATTGGTGTACAAGTCTATCTTTTATTAAGTATAGACATGAAAAGTGTTCTACAAAATAGAAAATGGTTGGCAGTTTTTAAGTTCTCACCAACTTATTTTATATGATCCAGTTAAAGTCAACATTGGAAATTCCCTTTCCTCCGTTAAGACAGCTAGAAGTAAAGACCCAGGACTGACCTGAGTAGAGGCCAACTCATGATGGATGATCGTCATGTTTAATTGATGGCTGTGACTTTGTTGCAGGAAATGGGTAGAACATGAAGGGGGAAAGGCCCTTTAAAGATGCACAGTTTTAGAGTTCTGGTCTGAGGAGGCTCGTGGTTTTGTTGTTATTGTTAGGTGCTATTGAGTGGACTCCAACTCACAGCACGTGTGTGAACAGCAGATGGAAAACCTGCCCAGTCCCTCATCCTCGCCACAGTCTCCGCCATGCCCAAATCTGTTGCTGCAGTCACTATGTCATTTCATCTCTTTGAAAGCCTTCCTCTCTATTATCCAGCCTTTACTTTTCCCAGCGTGATATCCTTTTCCAAGGACAGGCCCCTCCTAATAACATTCCCAAAGCATATGAGACAAACTTTCACCATCCTTGCCTCTAGGAAGGCACCTCATCGAAGGAGCTTTGCCATGCAGTGGTGGCCTCCATGTGGCTGTGATCCTGGAAGCTGTACCACTTGCTGACATTACAAATACCAGCAGCGTGCCCGTGATGGACAGGTCTCAGCGGAACTTCCAGACCTACACCGGCTAGGAAAACAGACCAGCCATTCACGTCTGAAAAATCTATAAATAGAAGAAACCAATTTACATATGTATTGGGTTATTTATAAGTAAATTTATTTCAGCCAGACATAATTAAGGAATGAAAAGCTTAGAAATGTTCCTAACCTTTGCTCCATTACCTTATTGTCGAAGTTAATCTGAGGAGTATAAACAATTGTATATATACAGCCTGATGCCATATGGAATTAGAGTGATACATTCTAGCCCCCCAAGGGGCTTGGTTAAATAGCTGGTCATCTCTTGGTGTGGGGTTACAGTCTTGTAGTTGAGAAATATTTAACATGGAAAAATTCTGATGATTTAGATGTATATAGCAGATGACTACAACTGTCCGAGGACTAGGAATGATTGCTGTGTTGTGCTGATGGCCAGTTAACTGATGTTGGGAAGATTCTGGGGAGACAGCGTGGGAGTTGAGCATGCTTACTAACTGTTGATTTTGTTTTTACTTTGCAGTCAAATAAAGTGCCCGTGGTGCAGCCATCCCATGCGGTCCACCCTCTCACCCCCCTCATCACTTACAGCGACGAGCACTTTTCTCCAGGGTCACACCCGTCACACATCCCATCAGATGTCAGCTCCAAACAAGGTGAGAGAGTGCCTGCCTCCCAGTGGCCCCTTTCTCTCCATAGGGTGTGAGTCCGTCAGTCAGCCAGGCCCCAGCCCCTGGTGCCCAAGTAGCCCTGAGGTGGCTTCACCCTTTGTCACTGATGGATGAACATACATATGTAAGAGGCAGGAGTAATTTACACATAGCAATTCTCTCTACACCCACTAGACTCTGTTATAGAATGTGGGGTGAGGCCCTTGGAGCAGCTCCTGGATTTGAAGCCTGTGCCTTCAGAACTGCAGAGTAGTTCCTTTCACTAGGCCACCAGAGCTTTCATTCAGGTAACAGCTCCAAAATCTACTAGCTACGATGTAAATTATCATGGTCTACAAATGTACAAAGAATTCAAGCCTCAGTGCATCCACCAGTAACCGTTTATTTCCTTATCTACAAAGTGTCATTCCTCATAAAGGTGTAAAAAAAATTAGAAAAGGGACTGGGTAGAAGGATTTTATTTTATTTGCTCTCTTTTTCAGTCTTCAGTGGTTTCTTTCGGTCCTCAGGCTTACTACCTCCACTGTCCTTTTCCCTTGGTTGTTTTTTTGGAGGTTTTTTTGTTGTTGTTGTTTTGGTTTTTTTAACAAACTTACTGTTTACAACACCCCTGCTAGCAAGTTGAGTTAGACTTAAAGAGTTGCGTTTCTGAGAAAGTATATCTTTAAGAGAGGAGACTCTTCCAAGGAATGCCTGGTGATTTTGAACCCCTGACCTTTGAGTTAGCAGCCCAACATGTTATGCACCACCAGTCCTCTTTAATTTATGACTAACATGTTATAAAGTAAAGAAATCCTCTCTATTTAAAGTCAACAGCGACATGAAACATATTTTGCTTCTTTTTATTATTACTACCAGGGAGCTCTGGCACTGCCAACACAAAGGTGAGTGGTTCGAATCCACCAGTGGCTTCCCTGGAGAAAGAGGAACAGTCTTTTAGAGCCTCTAAAAACCCCCTGGAGGATCAGCTATAAGTTTGTTCCAAATTGATAGCAATGAATAAGTAGGTGATGATACTACCAAGTTCTGCTCCCCCCAATACAGAAGAATATACAACATAAAGCCAAACCAAATTCATTACTTTCAAATCCGTTCTGACTTATAGGACTATATATGACAGAGAATAACTCCCCTACTTAGATTTCCAAGGCTTTAAATCTTTGTGGGGGAAAATTACCACAGCTTCCTCCTGCAGAGCAGCCGTTGGGTTTGAACTGCTGACGTTTTCTTAGTTAGCAGCCCAGTGACTTAACCATTGTGCACCCAAGGCTGTGGAAATTTTTAAAAAATTCTGCGCTGCAATCCAAAAGGCATGCAGTTCGAGACCACCAGCTTCTCCGCAGGAGGAGGATGGGCAGTCTTTTCCCACATGATTAACTGCCTCTGAAAACCCGCTGGAGGGTCAACTGTGGGTTGGTTCCGACTTGATGGTACACAGCAACAACAACAACCTGATGTGTATGGATGTGGGTGTGGTAACAGGACACAACGCTCTGATTCGCAGACCTTCTGGTCTGGTCCACTTAGGACAAACTTTGAGGATGAATTTGTTCACAGAATGGCCTTGGCACTTTATTCCTCACCACTGTGTTGGCGGTAAAATATATAAAATATCCTGTAAAACAGAGTAGAAACAGAGAATGTGACATTTCAAACTTGCCACCTCTTACTTTTCACCCTTTTATCCTTGGGTGATGCAAGGAGTTAGTGACTTCCACCTAAAAGGTTAGAGGTTCAAATCCTCCTGTTGGGGCCTCTGAAAAAAGGCCCGGAAATCTCCTGCTTGAAAAGCCAGCCTTTGAAAACCGTCTGGCACACAGCTACACTCTGGCACTCATGAGGTTACCACAAGTCAGAATTGACCTGGAAGCAACTAGTTTGGCTTTTGTTTTTATTTTTTTATTTATAATGGATAACAAACTTAACAAGTATGTGGAAAAGAGTAGAGTTCAGAGATTTAGTGTCCTTTCCATTTCCAGTAACATCTTTAGGTTCAGTCTCTTCCATTGTTCAAATGGTAAACCAGTCTGAGGAATTAGTTATTGTTGGACTTTGACTACAGTGGAGCCCAATTATCTCTTCTCACTTGAGCCAGACCGAAACCACCCTTGCTAAGGTGCCCAGATTTGTGCTTGTTTTATACCTCACTCTGAGTCCTCCTCTCACCTTGTTTGCTTTTATCAAGGGCTTCCACAGAATAAAATACACCAGAAAGGCAGCACTGTATATGTATGGTGAGAGAAGAAGTTAGGAAAGAGCATTCTAAAAGAAGGCTGAGTTTGAGAGAGAAGATCCAGAATAGAGTCTTGATCACAGTGAGTTAAGGGTCCTTGAGATCTCTGAGGGGAGACTGGAGGTCGGCCACTTAACACGTGGATCAGAGTCTCAGACCGGAGTCTGGCTGGAGACACACATCTGGGAACCATAAAGATCTAGATGCTGATTAAATATAGATGTAAAAGTCTCATACTGTTAGCAAAAGGAATATTTTTCTAAAGAATTCCAGGTCCAGTCATTTAAAAAAGAAAGAAGTTTATATAACTTGCTGTCGGTTATATTTTCTCTTCTGCTCCCATCTCTTTAACTGCTACCTTGTTTTGCCTTTCTAACTATAATTGTGCCCCCAAACTTTCTTTTAAGAAAACACATTCCCCATCACTCTAGAGAAGGAATCTGGAGGTGTGACCTCAAGTTGTCTGATTGCAGTTTCTTTGTTTTGCCCCAGAAATCTGTATGGTTTTACACTTTTCTCCATCTGTTCCTTTTAGGAATAGAATTTGTTTTTATCTCTCTCTCTTTCCACATTCTACATCCCCGCCACCCTGTACATGTGTGTGAAATGGTTGGGAATTGAGGGGGAGAAAAGCTGATACTAATCTTTTTGTGTGTGTTTTCAAGGAAACAGGTGCTCAATATCTGGTAAAAATATTAATAGGAAAGATCTTTAAAGAAATAGTAGCCATCTCAGAAACTCCTTACTGTCGAGTCAGAACCAGTTCATAGCTGATCTTCCATTAGGTTTCCAGGGGTGTCAACCAGATGGGAAGATGGTGCTCCTCTTTTTCCCTCGGAGCCACTGGTGAGTTAAACTGCCAGACAGGCATGGCTTTCGAAGCTAGCAGCTCCCTGTGGACTGAGCCACCATCACTCCCCTATGTCGGTGCATTAGCCATTTCGTTCTTAAAATAATGACAGGCATTTGGAGGCCACTTTATATTTGGGGGCATAGTGGAGAAACATGGACCACCTCCTCCCATATGCTTTCCAGTCTCTGAAATCCCACTTGAAGGGTCAACTATGAGTTGGTTCCAGTGAGTGAGTGAGTGAGTAATACCAAGTTCCACTGCTTTTGCATTTACAGAAGAACATACAACATAAAACCAAATTGAAGGCTGCTAACTGAAAGGCTGATAATTCAAATTCACCATGATCTCTGAGGGAGTTAGATGAGCCCTTTTCTCCTGTCAAATGTATAGCCTTTTTTAAAAAAAATTATTATTTTGTGTGTGTACGTGTGTGTGTGTGTGTGCGCGCGCGCGTGTGTACCATCAAATTGGATCTGACCGGTACAGGAGGAGATGGATCTTCCTTCTCCGGCAGAGCATCTGGTGGATAAGTGTACAGCCTTTGAAAGCTGATGGAAGGCCACTATAAGTCAAAATCAAATTGATAGCACTGGGTTACTTTATACCATGAACAGTTCTGAATTGCATGTCTTTTTGTATTTGTTCCTCACAACAATCCCTGTTATGTTATTCTCATTTTTCGAAAGAATAACAGTTAAATAACTTATGCTAGTAGACAGTGTGTGGGCAGAATTACTATGTTAATCCACACAGTCTGGCTCTAACATGTTAAGTGTAGTCGAGTCGCTTGCAACTCATAGCGACCCTGTGTACAACAGCTCTAAACTCTGTTCTGTCCTGTGCCAATCATATTGTCTCTGACACTCCCATCCCGATTACCCCAGGCACTCAATCAATCCACCTCATAGAGGGCCTTCCCGTCCTGCGCTGTCCCTCCACCCTCCCAAGCATGATGTCCCTCTCTAAGGACATGTCTCTCCTTACAACATGTCCAAAGTATGTTTAGACGGAGCCTCAGAATCCTTGCCTCCAAGGACCCACCCGGTTTAACCCTTCTCAGGATGAATCTGTTTGTTTTCCTAACTGTCCATGGTACCCTCAATACTCTTCTCCAGCACCACAGCTCAAAGGCATCAATTCTCCTTCTATCCTCCTTGGTCAGTGTCCAACTCTCTGATGCATAACAAGTGATCGCAAAGACCATGGCCTGTATCAGACGCACCTTAGTCTCCGGAAAGACACCATTGCTCTTCAGTACTTTGGAGAGGTCCCTAACAGCAGACTTTCCCATGGCAATGCGCCTTTTAATTTATTGGCTACTGGTGCCAAGAGTATTGACTGTGGAGCCAAGCAAACTAAAGCTGTGTACAATCTCAGTCTCTTCACCATCCATCCTGATGCTGCCAGTTGGTCCAGTGGTGAGAATCTTTGTCTTCTTGATATTGAGCCTCAATCCATATTGTAGGCTGCAGGCCTTGACACTCTGCAGCAGGTGCTTCAGGTCCTCCTCAGTTTCAGCAGGCAGGGTTGTGTCATCTGCATAAAGATTGTCGATAGATCATCCACCAGTCTTGACCCCACATTTCTCCTCATAGAGCCCAGCCTCCCAGATAATCTGTTCTGCATATAGGTTGAAAAGGTATGGAGATAGGATGCATCCCTGGCATATGCCCTTCCCAATTTTGAACCATGCAGTGTTCCCTTGTTCTGTTCTGATGACGACCTCCTGATCCAAGTATAGGTTTCACATTAGAATGATCAAGTATTCTGGGATTCCCATTCTTCTCAGAGTCAGCCACAGTTTGTTATGATCCACACAGTCAAATGCCTTTGTCTAGTCAATGAAACACAAATAGACATTCCTCTGGTATTCCCTGCTTTCAGCTAAGATCCATCTAACATCAGCTACAATATCTCTAGTACCACGACCCCTTCTAAACCCAGCCTGGACTTCTGGCAGTTCTCTGCTGATGTGCTGTTCCAGTCATTTTTGGATAATCTTCAGTAGAATCTTGCTTGCATGTGAAATCAATGAGATTGTTCTATAGTTTCCACCCTCTGTTGGGTCACCTTTCTTTGAGATGGGAACAAATATAGATCTCTTCCAGTCAGTTTGCCAAGTGATTTTTCTCCAGATTTCTTGGCACAACTTGGTGAGCACATCCAGGGCAGCATCTGTTAGCTGAAATAATTAGTATACCATCTATTCCTGGGGCCTTATTTTTTGCCATTTCCTTCAAAGCAGCCTGAACTTCTTCCTTCATCACCATAGCCTCTTGCTCATATGTTGTTTCATGAAATTCTTTCTTCTGTGTCTGCCAATTCCTTTTGATACAGTGATTCATTATACTCTTTCCATCTTCTTTTAATACTTCCTGGATCATCTAATATTCTGCTAAAAGCATCCTTGGTTATAGCAACTCTAGGTTTGAATTTGTTCTTCAGTTCCTTGAGCTTAAGAAATGCTGAGCGAGTTCAGCCCTTTTGATTTTCTGACTCCAACTCCTTGCACATTTCGTTGTAATATTTTGCTTTGTCATCCAGTGCTGCCTTTTGAAATCCTCTATTCGACTCTTTAGTATCTTGAATTCTTCCTTGTGTTTTGGCTTCTCTATGCTCCAGTGCAATTTTCAAAGTCTCTTCTGACATCCATTTTGGTCTTTGCTTCCTCTTCTGTCTTTGCAATGACCGTTTGCACTCTTCCTGGATGATATCCTCTCACAACTCATCTGGCCTTCGCTCATTAGTGTTCAAGGCCTCAAACCTGTTCCTGAGATGGTTGTGAAATTCAGGTGGGATAGACTCAAAGTCATATTTTGGTTGCCTTGGATTTGGTTTCATTTTCCTCAACTTCAGCTTGAACTTGCATATGAATAGTTGGTGGTCTGTTCCACAATCAGCTCCTGGTCTAGTTTTCACAGCTGATATTGAGCTTCTCCAGCGGTTCTTTCCACAGATGTAATAGATCTGATTCCTATGCATATTATCAGGTGAAATCCACCATAACTTATCTATATTTATTTAGATAAAATTTGTAGTTTGCTACAAAAAGTTTAAAAATCCTACAATTAAAAGTCAAAACTGAATCCCAGAGGTGCATGGTTCAAGTCCACCAGATACTTTGCTGGAGAAGGAGGAACAATCTCCTCCTGTACCAGTCAGATTTGATTTGACGGTACACACACACACACAAATAATAAAATAAAAAAAAAATTTTTTTAAAAAGTCAAAACTGACCAACTAACAAAAGTCCAAAGCAAGACTGTAACACAGAAATTCTGTCCCGGTTTCTAACCTGTAGTATGAGCCATTCACTGAATTTCTAGTCTGTAGGCCCGCTGTTCCATGGCAGGAGGGTGCGCAGTCTTCCTTTGTGAGATTTATAGCCTCTGCAAACCTGCTGGAGGTCCAGCTATGAGTCAGTTCCCGCTAGACATCAGTGATAGTGGAGTCTGCCCTACAGATCTCACATTTGCCAGCCTCCATACATAATCTTACAAGCCAGGTCCTTAACTTCGACATTCTAAGATTGACTCATTTTCCTGGATATATTAATCATTTCTGTCTTACTCCTGCTACCACTCTCACCCAAAATAAAAATAGTTTAAAAGTCTTTAATACTATCCTAATGTCGGATAACCTCTGGCATATATTATTATTGTTATGTGCCATTGAGGTGCCTATTACTGATAGCAATATGTAGCAGCTCTGAAGTCTGCCCTGTCCTGAGCCAGTCTCACTGACTCTGACACACTTACCCCCGTTACTTCAGTTACTGTCTCAATCCCCCTCATCTGGGTTCTTCCTTTCTTGCACTGTCCTTCCACCCTTCCAAGCATCATGTTCTTCTCTGAGGGCCAGTCTCTTCTGGCCACCTGCCCAAAATATATGAGATGGAGCATCAAAATCCTAGCCTCTAAGGAGAAACTTGGTTTCACCCTCTCCAAAACGGGCCTTTTTGTTTTCTTGGCATATATTAGAGGCTCAATAAATAGTAATGGAATAACAATATGAAATATGATTTCACCATGACAGCTGAAGCAAAGGCATATGGAGTAAGTCTAGGAATCTTTGAATGGTGTACACTTCCATGATTATAAAACAAGAATGAGATACTTGGGAAACCTATGTCCATTTTGTATAACTTAAGCCATATATAGTAATGAACCTGCTGAGGGAATTGGCAGCTTTTAACACTATTTCATTTGTTTCTTCACTCTGCTGTTCACAAGTATTTCCCAAGTGCTTTTCTCTGCAGACAACTTTGGTTTCATCTGCCTCTTGGTAAAGTGTGGTCTATCTTCCATGCAGTTCATATAAATTCACGCAGGAAATCATTTGCACTGACAAACCATAAAAGAAAATTAAAAACACCCTCAGTCCCATGTTAAAAGTACAAATAAAATGCCGTAGGTTCAAGGAAGAAGTATTTCTTAGCACTAAAAGAGAGAAAATTACATGGGGGCAGAACATTGGAAAGAGGAGTAGAATTTAAAAAGCAACCATCAGATGTAGTGCAGTTAATGTTCTTGGATTCATGCTGAATGATCAGAGGTTCTGTTTACTTGATGGGGGGGGGGGCTCTGGTGGCGCAGTCAGTAGGGAGTTAAGCTGCTTAAGCCAAAAGCAGCGCCTCGCTGATGGTTCAAATCCACCAGCAGCTCTGCCGCTGGACTGCCACTGGAGGGTCAGCTAGAGCTGGTTCTAACTCTACAGCAGTCAGAGTTCTTATTTTTTACCCAACACCGTCTTTTTGGATAGCATTTCTCCCTTAAGATTTTCAGGGCCTTCTTTATCCTTTAAAATCCGGATTAATTCATTGTCTTTACTTGCTGTTAGGTGCCACAGAGTTGTATCTGCCTTTTTTAGCTGACCCTCACAGTGGGTTTTCAAAGTCTGTAAATCGCATGGGAGGAGATTTCTCACCTTTCTTCCATCAAGCAGCCAGTGGATTCGAACCACTTGTCTTTGGGTGGTCAGCTCCGTTCCTTGCGACTCCTAAGTATGCAAGGCTTCCCTAAGTAACATACATAGGCATTTTAAATTGTAAAAACCAAAAGAAAACAGTAAAGGGACAATGTTTAAATAGTATCTTCCATGTGCTTATCTAATTTCTGAATACTGAATGAGTTTGCTTTTACTGAGTAACACATTCTGAGTATTAAGCCTTGGACAGAGTGTTTACCTGTCATCTTCTAAAGCTGTGATTATTTGTGTTAAGAAACTTTGGTGTTTGTTTATTTGGTGGTGGTGGTGGTGGTGGTGGTAGGAGTTTTTTGTTGGTTTGTTTCTTTCTTTTTCAGAATCACTTTCCTCCAGATAGATGAGGTCTGAATTTTTATGTTATACATTCCTTTCTGTGTCTTACTCCTGTTTCATTCCTATCCAGCTGAGGTGTAAGGTACAAATATCATTTGGGATCAGGAGAAGGTATAATGGTGAGGTGGCTGGTACAGTTTTTGTGGGTGTCCAGGGGGCCATGGTATAACTCTCATTTTTCTGGGGAATACAACTAATCCAGAGCAGCCTGACCTTGGTGCCCAGAGGACAGAATTTGATGAAGGGCTTAGTTGCATCAGAAGTGGCAGACAGAGACCAAATGAATCATATCAAGTGTGACCATTATGTGGCTGAAGATGATTCCTAATTAATCTTTGATCCTCTGAGGTATCATATTTCCCAAATCTATGTGTCCATAAGGGAACCATTGAAAATATGAAAGTACCAATTTACCTAATCCTTGCACCATAGCAGGCTGTCTGTGTAGGAAGGGCTGTCATTTCCTATACTATGCCAAACAATTTCACATTGTCCACAAACACAATGCCTGCCGTTTTCTCAACTAAAGTGAAACGATAAGGGTAAAATAATGTACAGGTCTGCTGTAATGACAGTTATATGATGGCAAGATATTTTTGCTTCCAGGAGTTCCTAGAAAATACACCATCCAAAGATCTGTTTTCTCAGATGTTAGAATCTTGAGAAAGGCTATCGGTTCTGACTTAAGCAGAATGGTTTCAAGGACTAAATATGATTTCATTCTGGACTTGAAGAATTAAAGGCAGAAAGCGTTTTACTGCTTTTCTGTTGCATTTTTGTTGGATGTCTTTTGAATTTAGAAACTATATATACCCTGCTGGATTTTTTGTTTCTTTTTTTCTCCTCTAGGCATGTCCAGACATCCTCCTGCTCCAGATATCCCCACCTTCTACCCCCTGTCTCCAGGCGGCGTCGGACAGCTCACTCCACCTCTCGGCTGGTAAGATACTCCCTAGAACTTTGAGCCAGGCGTTCAAACACATCTTCTATTTTCCATTCATTCATGGAAATTAGCTTTAGAAATAGTAACACTTGGTGTAGAGTTGGAGAAATTTTACATCAGCAAGCAAGGTGCTAACTTTATTTCATTTCAATTTAAAAGATTAAAAAAATTATATGGACTTTGAAATGGATTGAATCCGTTTGCTAATATGTGTAGAAAATGACTATGTAGAATTTGCTTTGAAGCTTATAGTTTTATGGATTCAATTTGTGGCTTTGGGCATTTGCTTTGCCTGAACAAAGTTAGAACTCAGTGTGGTTTTACTTTTCCTAGGATATTTTTTTATGAATAGTTTATAGTTCTAGAGCATAAATGAAGGCAGACTGAATATTCACCTTTTCTTATAAGTAGGCAAGTACAGGAAATGACAAACAAGAAACTAAAGATAAATTCAAAGCATCTTTGGGAGTTAAAGACAGTGGTATCCGGTTTGAGTTCAGAAGAGTAAGAAACTGAACTGATGTTTGGGTGTTCTTTTAGTCAAAGCTCAAATTTATTTGGATTTTTTATTATTAATTTCTTTTGTCTGTTTTTTTACAAAAAGTTCTTACAGCTGCATTAATTTCTTAAAAGTTCTAAAATAAAGGATAATTTGAGGGAAAAATCCTAGTTTTATATGTAATGGCTTATTTTTATTATTACATGCACACAACTTTCCCTCTGTTTCCTCCCACCCCTTCTTCAGTACTCTTTCCCCCACCTCTTCTCTCATGGATTTATGGAAAACAGTGCTTCCAGTGTGGCTAACGTTTTTTTCCCTCCTTTTGGCATCTTATTCTTTCATCCCGCTGCCCCTATCCTTTCCCAGACCTCCTAAACTTTTATATCCTTACACTACAACTTCAGCTACTTTCTACTCACAGAAATTCAAATTTCTTTCTTTCCGTGTGTCTGTCTTTCCTCACCTTTCCTCCCTCCCTCCCTCTAGCACTAATTTCACAGTCAATAGTTTTGTTTTAATCTAATTGTTCATGCATATACTTTAAAACCCAAGTTAATTATTTTGCCTCAGTTTAGCTACTTAGAGGCTGATTCTGTGCTAAATCAATGGCAGCAGAAAATAAAAGAGTAAAGAAACCATGTGAGGTGTGGAAAGAACAGAGAGAAGACGGGACTCTCAGAGGGGAAAGAAAAGAATTTCAATGAGTTGTTCTCTTCTTGCCTCTGAAATGATGAGGTGCAATGTTTTTTAAATGTTTATTATTTTAATATTCACTTTTTTCTTTCTTCCCTGAAATTCTCTGAGATTTTAATAAAGAATTCATTGGGCTGCTTCTCTAAGGATAATATGTCACCATTATCAGAGTCTCTTTATTTGAGTTATAAAGTTCCTACATTGTTCAAAGTATTGTCCTAGGCATAAATGGGATTGAGAGAGGGGAAGGGAAAGAAAAAAAAAAAGCAAATAATCCAGGGATTAGTTTGCCTTAGAAGTTGAGGGAGGGGGCTTTCTTCAAAGCAAATGATGTGTTGATTGGGTTGAGGATAATGGAGGAGAGCAGTGACTATACAGTTGAAGAAAATCTGTGCTTGCTGTCAGGCCCACAGATTATATTTGAATACCCCCCTTTTCTCCCCCACATCAGACTCTTATTGCGGGTTGGTAAGTGGTGTGTTGTCATTGATGGGTTCCTCTCTTCTGTGACCTCAGGCAAGGTCAGCCTGTTTATCCCATCACGGGTGGATTCAGGCAACCCTACCCATCCTCACTGTCAGTCGACACTTCCATGTCCAGGTAGGTGGAGGTGGAAACGGGGCCCTGGAGGACAAGTTGCTCTTGTCGCGCTTGCATCTTGTGTGCCTCTGCTTGCCTCGGCTAGGAGGGTGCATCCCTCAGCCTCATGCCTGTCTGTGCAGTGTGCCTGGCTCGCACACTAGGGGTCTCCGAGGTTCCTGGGGGCAGAGCCCAAAGCTGTGCCTCTCAGGACCAGCCATGCCCACTGCCGAGCTTGACTCACACTGGCAAACATTGCCTCCAAAAGCATCTATTGCCATGTGACTGTGGAATGTGAAAATGGACCCCAAAGTGAGCATTTTAAGAAGAGCTTGTTTAATGCAAAACAAACTAGGAAAGGGGCAAACTACAAGTGGGGAGCTAAGTGTGGGTTTGGTCTGAGGTCTAGAATTTGCTTCCTTTGAAGAAAGTGGTATTGATCTGTGTAATGTGAAGGTGGCTGGAAACGCCCAGGTAATCCAGAGCTTTCTCTGCACCAGGTGTACCGAAAGTGAACAAGGAGTGCTCACACGCTGTCCAGGCCGGCAGATCTGTGGGCCCTAGTGTGCGACTCAGGCCCTGAGTGGACACGGCAGTGCAAGCCAAGCTCTCGGAGGCCTATCACGCCACCCTCGAGCTGCTCTGTGTAATGCTTTGCTTCTGGACAGGATGGCTTCTGTGCCCTGTGCTTGACGTACACACGTGTGGTGTAGCGTCTGTGTGTTCAGTGTGTTCTCCAGGGAGCTAGCGTTACTGTGCTGGAAGGCAAGCTGTTGGATCATTAACTGGCTATGAATTTTGGTATATAGATATAAACACTGCTTCTGTTAGTTTACACATTTTTATACAGCATTTTTAAAAAGGCATTTGTTTTGTGAACTGTTGAGGGTGTGGTAAAATTAATAGCTATCACCCCCAAATGCAGTTTTACATTTAACTTTTAATATTTTAAAAACTATCTGGTGTTTCTCCCAGGCGTATTGATCAACATCTGATGTTTTTGAAAACTATATACTTAACAGAACTTTTGTTATTTGATCAGATAATTTGCATTGTTAACATGCTTTCTTGTTTAAAATATTTCCTACAATAATTCATATGCAAGTCTCTTCTCTCCTCCTCAGATGAAGGAGTAGGCTGTGATGAAAGACCAAGAATGTCATTGAATTAAATGTTTTCTTTAAAATAGTATGAAGCAAACAAACAAAAAAAAATCACAATCACTGCATATCCAAATTCACCCAGAGCGCTTGCTTGTTGAAAGTACTGTCTTATTTATTTTATTTTTCTTGCATGGCAGTTTCTCTCCTTTGTGTTGGCTGGTGGTGGATGGTTTAAGATTTTTTTTCATGTTCCTTAGACATAACTTGGGGAAAAGTATCTTTATGTGTGTAGTTTTAGACAAGTGTCTCCTTTCTTTTATGGTTAAATCTTTCCCTTCGTTTCTGTTATCAGTTTTTCATAAAATTTGTAGATCTCTTCTCTCAAACATTACTTTTTAGATAGAATGTCATTTGGTATCAAATATAACTAAGTAAGAGAATGAAAAAAAATATTCTCCCTTTCTCTTACTGTCACAATTCTTTCATCTTAAAGGAGCCCTGGTGGTGCATTGGGTAAGCACTCCGCTGCCAACTAGAGGTGAACTCACCAGTGGCTCGAGGGTGGTGGGGAAAGGACCTGGCTGTCGGCTATAAACATTACAGTGCAGGAAACCCAGCCCTGGGAGCACTACTGTGCCCTGAAGGGTTGTTGGGTTGGCTTAGCAGTGCACAGCAGTAAAAATATTTTATTAGTGCAGAAGCCAACGAGATGAGAAAACGGTTCATATAGAAGTTTGTTTATGAAGGAAAGAGATTTTTTTAATATCTTTTGCTTCCAATTAAAATTTATTAAGAGAAAATGAATAGAGATTACATTAAAATAGTATCTATTCGATGGTTGCTGTCCTTGAAATTCTCATTTAAAAACTGCTTTGCAAGAAAAGTAATTCTGTACTTTTAAAATTTCATGGCCTAGTCCCTTCTCAGGGGAAAAAAATGTCAAGTTTCGCAACTACAATGAAAAAAATTAAATCTGCTATGCCAGAAATAATTCTAAATACGATTTACCTGATAACAGAAAGTAAAAATTACAAATTAATAAAACCATCAACTGAGTTTGATCTATATGTCTACATATACAGAGGTGTGTTTTCATTCTTCACCAAAAGCAGTTAAGTAGGTCACTTTGAAATTCCTCTGAGCTTTTGCTACTATAACCACTAGTGGGTATTGTTTGTTTTTTTTTTCTTTTAGGTTTTCCCATCACATGATTCCTGGTCCTCCTGGTCCCCACACAACTGGCATCCCTCATCCAGCTATTGTAACGCCTCAGGTCAAGCAGGAACACCCCCACACTGACAGCGACTTAATGCACGTGTAAGTTCCCACCTGGCTTCCCCAGCAAATGCCTGAAAATGCTGAGGATTTAAATCCTGTGTGCTTGTTCATAGTTAGGCCGCCTCTGAGACACTGTTGAAAATCAGTTGTAGCTATGCCTTGAAAGCTCTGTCCTTCAAGACACTTCAGCAGTTTGGTTGTCACTGGCCCAGATTTAGATTACGAGATGAGAAAGGAGCACTGACCTTAGATGACCACAGGTCCTCACCTCGGTGGGAGACCTTTCAGAGCGTAGGTACTGAGTAATCTTGAACTGCTGAGCATTTTACTGCTATCCAGTCGAGTACAACTCATAATAATAACAACAGATCTGAACCCCATCCCATCCTGTCCTGTACTCACAATCTCTGACACACTTGAGCCCATTGCCTCAGTCACTGTGTCCGTCCATCTGGTTCAAGGGCTTCCTCTTTCCCTGTCCCTGCACCTTGCCAAGTATGATGTCCCTCTCCAAGGAATAGCCTCTCCTAGCAACATACCCAAAGTATGTGGACTACTAGGATTTAATTTGGGTCCGGTTGTTGGGAACACTTGACACATTTCTTTCCTGAAGCTCTCTTACCCTAGTTTAAGGCTGTGGAGCCCAGGATTCCCTGGTGGGCTAGGATTGTCACAGAGTGTCCCGGCAGGACTAAATTCTCTGAAGAGATTAGTAGATAGAGGAGCTTCTCAATCTTGAGTTTGGGTAGACAGCATGTGACAGACCGTAAAACCCTTGCAAATATATGTAAAACTAAGGTGTAGTTGTTTGGGGAAGAGGTTCTAAATTTCTGTAGCTTCACAGAGGGACCTCTGACCCCAAGAAAGCTAAGAATCTTAGACCACCTAAAAGAGATACTGTCACCTACACTATATGCTCAGATTGTTTTTCAATGGCCAAGGAACTTGACTTGAAGGCCCTACAGGGAGCATCTTTGTGAACACCAACCATCTCCATATTGTGTTGAAAGCTTCTAAAGCTATATAGGTAAACTTTCTGAACTCAAAAGTCAGTGAGTTAACAGAGCTTTTTTTTGCTTCTGGTTTTATGCTTCTCAATGTCTCATCAAATAAGCCAAGCATGTTGGTTGTGTTCTGGGTCTTGTAGAGTCCAGAGAGTTTGAGTTCAACTGGTGATGTAAACATGTGCTGTTTCTCTTCCCCTGTCTCTTCCTTATCCCTTCTCTCCCCTCCCCCACCCACCACCACACTCACCTTTTAGGAAGCCTCAGCATGAACAGAGAAAGGAGCAGGAGCCAAAAAGACCTCACATTAAGAAACCTCTGAATGCTTTTATGTTATACATGAAAGAAATGAGAGCAAATGTCGTAGCTGAGTGTACTCTAAAGGAAAGTGCAGCTATCAACCAGATTCTAGGCCGAAGGGTAAGTATGGGTGTGTGTATACCAGTGTTTATGGTAACCGTGGTTCAGCTTCATTAAAATATGCACGGATTTTAATTACAAATCAGATGATCCTTGGAGACATCAGTATAACCACCACCAGCCACAACAGGAAGTGGCAAAGGGCACAAGATATCCTGCTAATAATGCTGGTTACACAATGTAGTGAATTGTAAGCACAACTTAACTTGCACTTGGCCATATTGTTTTGATCACTGTTTTTACTAGTCTCACTCTTGAAACAAGTATTCGTTGAGTCCCTTTTTATGTTTCAGGCTATAGACTAGATGTTTGGTGGTAATTGCTAAATAAAACATGTATGATCCTTGACTTTTTAGAGCTTAAAGTCTAGTGGCAGAATACAGATTTTAGACAATGAGTTACCAAAAAAGTATATGACTAAAATTGATATAATTGAAAAAAAATTACCAATAAATACATCATAAAAATGCCCTGGTGGCCTATGGCAGAAAACTGTGCTGCAATTCCAAAGGCATATGGTTTGAAGTCCCCAGCTACTCCGTAGGAGAAGGATGGGCAATCTCCTCCTGCGATTAACTGCCTCTGAAAACCTGCCAGAGGGTCAGCAATGGATCGGTTCAGACTCTATGGCACAGGATGGCATGTCATAAAAGGGTGATAAGGGTAAGGGCTGTGAGAACAAGTTTCTGTGGTAAAGAATGGTATGGGGAGCATTATTTACATTTGCGGGTTAGTTAGTAAAGACTCCTCTCAGAAAATCGTATTTACACTGAGATCTGAGAGGTGGATAAGTGTTGATCAGTGGAAACACTGGGCTCTTCCTGAGTGAAACAAGTCCGAAGCCACAGAGCAGTGCAGTCCATTTAGGGAGCTGCAGGCAGACTTTTTACAGTGCTTCTGCATTAACCCCGGCTAATGAAGGTGGTCACTCCCTCCGTGACAGAAATGCATCTGTTCTTTCACCCATCCTAAGATACCTTTCCTGAACTCCTACTTTCTGTCACAGATGCCGTTAGGATTTCTCTGTCTAATCTTCCCCCCCCCCCCCCGAAGGGTAGATGACGATTTTTCCAGGTACATTTCTCAGAGTAGAAATTGTTTTAGTTAGGCATCTAAAGGTGAGAAAAGAAAGTTAATTATTCTGGTTTAAATTTTCATTTCACTGTAATTAACATTGTTGTTGTTGATTGCTGTCGAGTCGAATATGACTCATAGCGACCCTATGAACAGAAGGCCTGAAGCCTTTCCAGAACTATCTTAATTTATCAAAGTTCATAGAATTTCCAGAGCCATGTTGTTTAGGAGGTGGATTTACATCCAGAAATCCTGATTTGTTGATGTTCTGCACGTATATACGTGGCCTAGTGGCAGGAAGCTGCCCTGCAGTCCACAGCTGCTCTGCAGGAGGAGGATAGGCAGTCTCCTCCCGTGCGACTAACTGCCTCTGCAAAGTCCCCGCAGGCTCGATTCTGACTCAGCAGTACACAGCGTCAGCAAGAGTTGGCTTCAAGGCAGTCCCACCGTTATAGCAAACCCACGTGTGGAGACTAGAACTGTTTTCTGTCGAATTTTTATGGCTCTGACCTTTTGGAGGTTACATTACCAGGTCTTTCTTTCAAGATGCCTCCAACATTTTAGGGGTCATCAAATACCTTATGTCACCTAGAGGTTTCACATATGCAGATGTTACTGTTGTTAGATGTAATCAAATTGACTGCTACTCATAGTGAACAGCTGTAGTAAGCTCTGATGGCCTAGTGGTAACAGATTACACTGATAATCCCAAAACACGGTGTTTGAATCCACCAGGTCCCCTACAAGAAAAAGATGGGCAGTCTTCTCCCATGCAGTTTATACCCTCTGAAAACCCATGGAGCATCAGCTCTGGGTTGGTTCTGATTGACGGTACAAAACAACAGCAACATAGTGAACACTTGATTTGAACCTTGCCCGATCCTGTGCCTTCCTCAGGATTTCCTGTTTGCAGCCCATTGGTATAGTCACTGTGTCCGTCTGGCATGTTAAGGGGTTTCTTCTCCTTCTCTATCCCTCTACTTTTCCCAGCATTATGTCTTTTTCCCAGGCACTGGCCACTCACACAACATGCCTCAAGTATATTATAGGAAGTTTCTTCATCCTTATCTGTAAGGGGCACCTTGGTTGCACATATGCAGATGGCGTCTTAAACTTTGCCAGTGAGTATTTAGTCAGGAAGATGGGTCTCAGCAACGTTTCTGAAACATAGAACATCGTATTTTAGCTGATGTTGATGATTTTTACGTGTTTGTTAGAAGCCAAATGAATGTGAGCGGTCTTAATGGAAAATATTCCTGCGGTTACCAGTCTGTGTAAAGATGAAGGACAGAGACCTCCTTGCATTATCGATTCCTGTTGAAAAGTCTGAAAAGGGCAGCTATTTCCAATCTGCAGGACACCAGGGCTTCAGGGCTAGGGTGTGGTGGTAGATTATAGCTTTTTGGTGTCCTCTGTGCAGTGCTCTATCTCCCTGTGGATTCTTAAACACTTAATAACAATAATTATGATGATTTCCCAAGCCAGATCACAGCAGATGAGTGATTCTCATCATCTTTGAAGAGCTCCGCCTCAAAAGCTTAAGGCCTGATGATCATTTTCTCTGACCTTTTAAAAGAAGAACTCAGAGCAGATGAAGCATTGATGTTTGATTGTAGTGTGTAAAAAGTGTGTAGCGGTTTTATTTTGAGTTTTTTTAGTTAAAGGATCCCTAGCCCTCCAGCAGGAATTATTTTCCTGCCCAAGAGAGTAAGTGATACGGAGGTATGCTTCCTATTTTTAAGGCACGTTTTTAACAGTTGCTACTTTCTCAGCTCCCTTAACAATCCCCAGATCAGAGCATGTGTCCTCAAGGATGGTTCACATTTGGGGTCTTGCTCTGTCTTTGATTTGGACACCTGCTTCTATTTATAGGCCTCTGAGATCTTTGATTAGGATCAGATTTTCTATCCTTTTCATAACTTCCCTCTGGCAGGGCAGTTCTTGCTGGTTCTTTAAAGTTCCCAGCTTTAAAATCATGAAGTTTTACATTGAGATAATGAGAGTTCTTAAAAGTGGATCTTAAATCCATCCTGGACCATTTTATTTTTCACTTTTATTTCTGCTAGGTATCTAACATAGAAAAATGTTCGTTCATAATGAGTTAGCCAAAACTTTCTTTTAAATTCCTGCTATAAATAATAGCACAACTCTTATTTTAAAATAGACTTATTTTCAAGGGTGCCTTGGTTGCCCAGTGGTTAAAACGTTCAGCTGTTAAACAAAAGGTTGGCAGTTTGAACACACTAGATCTTCCTTGGGAGAAAGATGTAGCAGCCTGCTCCCGTAAAGATTTATGGACTAGCAAACCCTTGGGGCCTGTCCTGCCCTGGCCTACACAGTTGTTATTAGTTGGTGTCCCTGTGAAAGCAGTGAGTGTCAGTTGGGTTTTTCTTTTTTCAGACTTTTTAAACTATAACGAAGTCTACTTAATGAAGGTTTGAAGATTTTTTTTATCTTGGAAATATATACGTTTCCTCTCAAGTGAATCTTTCTCCTTACAATTTGAGGAAAGCTTGACAATGCAATTTAAAGGGTTTGCGTTTTTTGGGTTTTTTTTCCAAAAAAATTAAATCTTAATATTTCAGCAAGCTAGAGATTCTTTTAAAAAGGCTTTGATTCAATTATGTTCCAGAAATTTGTATACAGATTATCTCTTAAAAGTCTATACTAGAGTTTATGTTTGTTTTTAATGTAAAAAAATTGCCATGGGATCATTTTTATATACAGATGCATTGTTTGTGACTTAGTTTTGTGAATAAGAAATAGTTTCTTTGTCAAAATCCATTATGCTCATATAAACATATTATTGAACTAAAAGCAGTTATTAAAAATATAAGAAAATAATTTGTACCCTGCTTTTTCCTCTTTGTTTTTGGGTGGGTTTTGTTCCCCTTTGCCTTATCCACCCCTGTTTGCATGCTGCCTAGTTTTGTTAACTATAAAGGATTTTTGGCCAACCTTGTTGGTTTGATTTTGGTTTTTCCTGCATTAGAAAAATAACAGACTGTGCAGAAACTGGACTCAACTTTCATACTTCTTTTGGGACTTAAATTTTATTTACTAGTTCCGATTCTCTCAGCACATTAAAGAGCTGTCTTAAATTATATAAAATTCTACAGATAAATTTTAGTAATGTAAGGTACTGTGCAGAAAGGAGGTATGTGTCTGCTTCCATAAATATTCCAGCCTTGCAAACCCTGGGGGTAGTTCTATTCTGTCCTGTAAGATTTCTGTGAGTCACAATCTTCTTGACAGAAGTAGGGGATTTTTTTTAAACACACACACTCATACACACACCACACCACACACCCCCAAAAACCCTAAAATTCAAGCTCCTGCTTATTGACATGGTTCAGAGTTGGCAAGTGTGTTGACCCTAACTTGCTATAGATGACACCAAAGCTCCCCAATAGTGTGTTAAAGGGAGATACTACTTATCAAATGAACGAGCAGATTTTTTAAATGTCAAGCGCTCTTCTGTTGGTTTTTTATGAAAAGACTTTTATTGTGAGGTTTTCTAAACACCAGACCTCACTCTCTAAACACTAATAATCACACTTTTCTCGGAGAAAGTTAGGGGCAATACTTTCTTTGGTATGCAGTGTTTGTCTTCCCTTCTGCATATCTCCATTTTTAGCTAAGGATCTCAGATTCAGAAAAGCTGCTGCTAGTTGAGATTTGGGAGGATCTTCCCTTCCTAATTCCACAGCCCTATGTTGCTGCTGCCCCAGGCTCTCCTTGCCCTGGTGTGTCTGATCTGTCCTGCTCTTACTCTGCTAGTACAAGGAAACATCAGGGTTTCCAGTTTTGCTCCCGCCGTACTCCCCAGAACTTTACTTTTAACAAAAGCAGATTACCTGATTTGCCTTTAGGGTAGGGCCAAGTCCTGAGTATGTCATGCTTTTTTAACTTTCCAGTCAGCACTCCAAAAGTAATTCAAAAATAAGCACTGTCTATTCTGACCAGAGGCCTAACTTTATAAGGGCTTCCGCAGGAAGTGGAATCTGCCACCCTGCCTGTGGGCACCAAGGGAAACGCTGTGCCAGAGTGGAGGGTGGGACGTGGAGCAAAGGTGCTGGAGTACTGCCTTGAGGTGATTCTGGTTCTTGCTCTGTTAGTGGAGAAGAGCGGCAGGTATTCCTGTTTTAGGTGGTGGCTGAGTTGAAGTTAATGAGGGCCTAGGCATAGCCTCTCCTGTGACGTGATTTTGTGTTTTCATCAGCCTCCTTCCCAGCCCTTCTAAATATGTATTAATTTCTTTAAGGTAGGGAGCACTAGAGGCATAGTCCTTAATGGACTCTGCTGCTCAGAGGTCATCTCTTCTCTGGTAGTTCAAATCCACCAGTGGCTCAGAGGCGGAAAGATGGAACAGTCTTCCTCTTTTGTGATTGTCACCTTTGGAAGCAGAGTGGAGAGTCAGCTAAGAATCTGTTCTGACTGAACAGCAATGAGTTAAATTGTTCTTTAAGGGTTTTTGTTGTTGTTGTTGTTGTTGTTGTGTGTGTGTGTGTTTTAATTGGGTAATAAGATCTAATAGGTCACCACGAATAGAAAAAGAGCTAGCTTTGACTGGGAGGGAAGTAGAAAGAGATACTCCTTAGACATGATGGGCGAGATCAGGAACCAGGAAACTCCTGGCTTGGGGATCCCCTGGTCATGGTATCACTCGGGCTGCACACTGCCCCCTGTCAGAAAGCGTAACCCTGGAATTACTCCAGTGTCTGTGGAAGTGGCTGTGGAGGCCAGAGGGCTGGCATGGCAGTGATGTCACTAGGGTTGGTGCCTCCTATCATCCTGTGTTACAGTTTATCACCACAAACACCACTCCTTTCTCCTGTGTGCAGGATGTGTGCATGCAGCCCTTAGAGCCCACCTGTGGATGGAGAGGAGGGTCTCCACCTTAAGCTAATGGGAGTGGGAAAGAGCTGCAGGGGTAAGGCAGGCCACTGTCCCACAGGGGTGGAGTGTAGTGACACCATACATTACCACGCTGAGGGCACTGACCTTGGTGACACCGCTGCCCCGAGGGGAGGACTGTGGCCAGGGTGGGCATGGTTTCTCTTTCTCCTAGAGCTACTGCTTGCTAAGCAATAGCTTCATGGCTAGTGGATTCCCAAAGCCCATCAAATCCACCCTGGATGGTTCTGCTCATAGATGTAGGGTTTGGGGTTTTAGAGGAGAGCCTTCATTATACTTTGCTGGGGGGCCTAGCGTGATTCAGGTGCAAAGCAGGGTGCAAATGTCAGCTTCTTAAGCCCAAAATGATTATCTTGCCCTTTAAAGCTATTTTACCGCATATTTATGTGATGGAAAAGCCTCATGGGGAGTTTTAAGAATATCACCAGCTATGATATCCAGATTAGATACAAACTTCTCAAACTATAGATGGCAAAATAAACTTAGACAGTGCTTCTTTCTTTCCATGCAAGGAAGGTCAGAACCACAGCTCTACAGTGTGGCTGCGAGGGTGTCCAGTGTCCTTCCTGTGGACAGTGTCTGTGTGAGTGTGCAGAGAGGATGGAGAGACGGAGACAGGCTGACTTTTGAAGTCCTGCTCTAGAGACGAGATCATATGATGAGGACTTACTCTTTTTAAGATTTCAGACTTTTCATATGACAGACTGAAAGAGTGTCCATGTGAGGAGAGAGGGTTTTATCTGTGTTTAAAAACATCTGGGAATTAATCACATTTTGCATAAATAAATGGTAGCTTGACTCCTGTACCAGAATGTGCTACAAATGTGGAAGCAATGGCTAAGTTGGGTGTTGAGGTTCACCAGTGAAAGTTCTTTTTCATTTATATTGGAAAAGAGCAAGGATGGGTGACAGAAATCGTTTTACTCTGGATACTTTGATTGGCTTTGATGTGTTTCATGTGATACTGGAGAACGGGACAGAGAAACCAAAGTTTGAATTTCCCCGCAGCCACCTGATTCCATATGGAGTTCTTCAGCACTTGGTCTTCCACCATTGAGACAGAAATCATACTTTAAATGCTTATTTCTCTGTATTGGGAATGTGAAATCTATGATGCTATTGCTATTTTGTTTACTTTGGATTCTTACCCCCTTCTCCTTCCTTTTTGTTTCAGTGGCATGCCCTCTCCCGTGAAGAGCAGGCTAAATATTATGAATTAGCGCGGAAGGAAAGACAGCTACATATGCAGCTTTATCCAGGCTGGTCCGCAAGAGACAATTATGTAAGTTCTGTAGACCCACCATTCTCCACTTTGACTCCTTTTCTTTCTCTTCTGTTTTCTGAAGGAAATGTATTTGGAGGTACATGGGGTTGGCATTATTTACTATTTTTGAAAGTTAATGAAACTACAGTAAGTTTTTCATGGATATATTGCATTCTAAAAGCTTTCAGCTTTATCTTTTTAATGGATATTAAGTGCTATCAGAACTTTTTAAAAATACCTGTTAAATGACAAATTAAAACACTGCAGAAAAGATAAAAACAAAAGTTTATAATCTTACAGTATCATGGCAACATTAGCAATAACTGTACATTTCCTTCTGGTTTTTTTTCTATGTATATGTTCTAATTTTTTACTTAAATAGAAATGTGTCTGTCCATAAGTAAACATTTTTCACATTTCTTTTATTATATACAACAATCACTATTGTACCTTACGGCATAATGTTTGCAAATACCCATTTTAATGACTCAGTATTTAATTTAGTGAATGCCTTAATTAACTATTTTTTTCTTGTTTTTAGGCATTTAACTTACGTTTTATTTTCTTAAAATTGTAAATGATCCTTCTCTGAGCATACAGTATTTTTTCTTTATTTAAATCAGTGCTTTCCACAGGCTAATTAGAAGTGGGGGGAGGGGGATGTTACTGTAGAATTGATATTAAAGTTTTTCAGTTGTGTTGGTAAGAAAGATTTCATTTTAATTTGTCATTTACTATACAGGATAGTGTTTTACTACATACTGTAATCTTAACACAGCAAAGCATATTAGAGAAAGTGTAACATAAGTGATACATTAGGGAGTCTCATTGTATGTTATTATGTTATTGTTGTTGTTGTTATATATCTTCAAGTCAGAATCAACCAATAGCTGCCCCTCTAGTGAGTTTTCAGAATCAGTAAATCACATAAGAGGAGCTCTTGGTGAATTTGAATCACGTGCCTGTGGATTGCCAGTGCAACTCCTTACCGTTAGGTCACCAGAGCACCCTGTTGTATTTTAATTTTGACTAAGCTTCCAGAAACTCTGTGAACTTTAAGAATTGGTGATAGTTATATAAAGGCTTCAATTCAAGTCTTCTCTTCATAGAGTCACTGTGAGTTGTGCTCGACTCGACCGCAATCAACAAGAAGAAGCGTCAGAAATAGTTTTAAAGTTTGAAACTCATTCTCAGGTTCCACATGTAATTAGTATTAGAATCACCCACTAGGAGGCTAGGAGAGTCTTAAAGTACGTGGAATCATCCCAGTAAAGGACAAAAGAGAAGCCGTTGTCAGTGTGTAATTTATAATTGAACGTGTAACTAAAGTGTAGCTAAAATTCGCAGAAGAGGCCATGAGAAGACAGTGCGTCCAACAAGATTATATATCCCATATACAAGACACCAGTACCTTTTGAACACATCTCTAGACCTAATTCTTAGAGCAGGTTTGCACACTTTGTTTCCTATAGCATGCTTTGAAGAAACAGTCACTTTATTGGTCAACATTTTGAGTAATAGGATGCGACTGTAACAAAGAATGGAAGAGCCCTGCTGTTGGTCGTTGTTAGTTGGTTCAGTTTACTCTCCTAGTTGATGTTTTTGTTGTTCTAATAACAGCTACCACATGCCTGACTGCTAGGAACTGCCTTAAATGTTCTATGTGTTACTTTCTAACCCTTAGCATAATCCTGTTACATAGATGATACTAGCCCATTTTATAGATGAGGAAATGAGAAGTCCGAGAAATTGAGTTCTTCCTGTACTTATGTGGCTAAGCTTCAGTCCAGACCCCTGTCAGCCTCATTCTATGGTCTACAGGTCCATCTTCCTGAATTTCCCTCTTCTTAACTCTCCTCTGCCTTCTGGAGAAGAGTGCTTCAGTAGAATTTTCTCCCCTGATCTGAGCTTCTGATCTATCTAGATAGAATCTTTGAGATGCCCTTTAAATGGGAGCATCAACCACCTTCCTAAAAGGTTTCAAAAGTGGCCTTCTCTAATCCTGTCCCAATCTCTTTTGAATGTGGTTTTCATAAGAAGAGGGGGCTAACTTCCCCTCTTTGACTAGTGTAAGAGCACTGTTGGGCTGTTTCATAGAATTTTAAGGAAAAATATTCCAGTTTTGTTGCTGCCAGTTTCTTATAATCAAAATTGCTCTATTAACCAGTTTTGTGCCAAAAAATGCCATTTAGCCAGTGAGTTGCGCTCATGTACTCCTGTGGGACTGGAATGTGGTAGTCACTCATGAAGTCGTTGCCATCATGTGAGAACCATAGCTGACCCTCCATTAGATTTTTGGAGACTGTAAATCACACAAGAGGAAGAAAGGTCATCTTTCTGCTAAGTTTATAATGCTGTTGTTGTTATGTACCATCTAGCGGGAACCGACTCATAGCTGACTCTCCAGCCAGTTTTCAGAGGCAGTAAGTCACATGGGAGGAGGTTGCTCATCTTTCTCCTGTGGAGCAGCTGGTAGATTCTAACAGTGTATGTTTGAGCAGCACAACTTCTTACCACTAAGCCGCCAGAGCTCCCTAAGGTTATAACAGTTAAGATTTCCCTGTAAGTGAATGGAATGTAAGAGTTGAACTGGATAGATTGAATATAGCAGCTTCTTGTGTTCAATATGTGCATCTCATGTCTCTTCTGTACAATGCAGTTGCACCACCAGGTATATAGTTCCAGGTGTATGAGGTTGCCTCAAGATAGAACAGGGTTCAGAGTTGTTGTGCTTAGGGTTGTGGTGAGTCTTAAGCTACTCAACAGCACATAACAGCAACAATGGTACAGTACCCGTATACCATACCATACCATACCATACCATACCATACCATACCATACCAATACATGCCTTAATAGTCAAACACTTCTGTTACTGGTTTATTATATGTGCTTTACTTTCAGGCATTATTTGAATATAAAGGTCTTCACTTATAGGCAGCAGCATCTAATCTCATGCTCTTGAATGTTGTAGCATTGACTTTCTGTTTCATTTTCTTTTGAGAATATTACTGTGAAGTGCATCCTGACTCCTCAGTGCAGCAAAATCCGTATTAGTAATAGCAGCAGCAGAAAGGAAAGAAGAAGTACCAAATTAGAAGCAAATCACATTTTATCAGACAATGCCAACATGCAGAACAAGTAAATGTTGCTGCTCCTGGTTTAGGCATGATTGCACAACATCCAGATCATATGAAACATCCTTGTTGCAACACACTAACTGTGGGTATTAGGTGACACCTGACTGTACTAAGGCTTAGGTCAGTCGACTGATAACTAAAATATTTAGTTAAATATTTAGCTAAAATATAACTATTTCATTATTAAAATACACTATTAGTGTATGTTATATAACTAAAATACTTAAAAATATAATAACAGGCCTGGAGTAGGGGCTGTACAAAACAGACATAAAGCATTTACTGCCAGAATCAATCCTGATACACATTGGGATTGTATTAAATACATCTCAGTGCTTTAATTTATAAATGCTCTATTTCATATATTTCAGTGTTAAAATTTTTATAACTAACTTAAGTGAAGTTTTCATAAATCAGAAGTGCATCTGTTTTCTTTGGTATGTTTAGCTACATATTAAAGCTTTTAAATTTAGTATTTAATGATTTCTGTTACACATTATATGCAATTTAATTTTTTTTACTACATATGAGTTTTGAAATAGTCACATGAAAAAGCATTTGACTGTGTGGAAAACAACAAATTGTGGCTAATCTTGAGGAAAATGGAATCCAAGAACACTTGATCGTGCTTATGTGCAACCTATACTTGAAGCAGTCTTCAGAAAAGAGTAAGGAAACACTGAATGGTTCAAAATCAGGAAAAGTGTGTTAGGGATGCATCCTGTCTCCATACATTTTCAGTCTATATGCAGAACAGATCATTTGGGAAGCTAGAATTTATGAGGAGGAATGTGGTATCAGAGTGGGAAGAAGACTCATCAGCAACCTGTGTTATGCAGATAACACAACCTTGCTTGCTAAAACTGAGAAGAAACTGAAGCACTAGCTGTAGATGGTCAAGGACTGTAGTCTTCAATGTGGATTGAAGCTCAATACCAAGAAGACAAAGATTCACACCACTGAACCAATAGGCAACACCATGATAGATGGATAAGAGATTGAGGTTGTTAACAAGTACAGCTTGCTTAGCTCCACAATCTACACTCAGTACCAGCAGTCAGGACATCAAATGACAGATTGCATCGGGAAAATCTGTCAGGGACCTATCCAGAGTACTGAAAAGCAGTGATGTCAGTCTAGAGACTAAAGTACACCTAATTCAGGCCATCATTTTTGTAATTACTTGTTATGCATCAGAGAACTGGACAGTGACTAAGGATGACAGAAGAAGAATTGATGTCTCTGGGTTATGGGACTGGAGAAGAGTCTTGAACATACCATGGACTGCCAAAAAACAAATAGGTCTTTCTTGGAGAGGGTGAAGCCAAGTCTCTCCTTGGAGGCTAGGATTTTTTTTTATAATGATTTCTTCAATTTTAATTTTAAAAAAGCATGTTCACAACACACCCCAAGAATGCCACACAGCAACAGTTTGCTGCTCTTTGTCAAACAGATGTTAGAAAACAAACCTTAAATGGTCAAAGTTTTTAAAATTTGATAGTTCTCTGAAATTAGTTAATAATTGCCTGTTTGTTAATATTGGTTTTAGAGCAGTAAACATTTCAGAAATGTAGCAAATACACCTTTCTCTGAAATGCACTAAGAACTATACAACAAAAACAAAATAAAATTTTTTAAAAACAATTTTTTTATTATTATCTTTTGCGCATGTACCGTCAAATCAGATCTGACTGGTACAGGAGGAAATTGTCCCTCCTTCTCCGGCAGAGCATCTGGTGGATTTGAACCGTGTACCTCTGGATTGCAGTACAACTTCTTGCCACTAGGCCACCAGAGCTCCCCTAGAAATAAATATTTTTTTAAAAAGAACACACTTAGCATTTTAAAATGTTAAGATGTTTTTCTTTCATCAGACAGTAAATCTGGGTCTTCTTTAGTGGTTAACAGGAGGAATTATGATGTAGCTTACAAATGCCTACTTAATGTACCAATAGAGCTTGCTTTCTGTTAAATTGTGGTCCAGTGTTAAAAAATGATGAAAAGGTCAAATTAGTTGGTTAATTTGGCACTCTAGTTGCTTTCAACATATTTCCTCCCAACTGATTTAATATTTCTAGTTGTTTGCTGTCTTTCTCTTAAAATCAATTAGTAAATATATTGTTCGACTGAAATGTAAACTGAAACTTGTTTCATTACTTCATTAAAATGTCAGTTTTTCTGTCCTTCTAAATAATTTATATTTCCATTATTAATGCAAAACAGCTTACACCATGAGTTAGAGCTTAACCATTTTAGCTAAATGTAGGAAAGATAAAAGGATTTTGAAGCTCTGTCTCAAATACTTTGGGCACTTAGCCAGGAAGGACTGGTCCTTGGAGAAGGGCATCATGATCAGAAGGGTGGAGGGACAGTGCAGGAGAGGAAGACCCTGGATGAGGTGGATTGATACAGTGATTGGAACAATGAGGGTAGGTGTGCCAGAATCAGTGAGACTAACTCAGGACAGGGCAGGGTTTAGAGCTACTGTACATAGATAGGGTCGCTGTAGGTCACAGACAACCCAGTGACACTTAACAATAACAACATATGAATTAGCTTTTTATTGAGTTGATAGTAATACATCCATACTCTTTGTCCATCACGAATACAGGCTCTTTTAAAATGGAAGTTTTTACATACAGCCTGTAGCATAGGAGGGGTTTAAAGCATCATGTGACAGACAGTTGCTTTGTGCCTGCTGTGTCTTAGACATGCTCCAGGTTACAGCTAAGGTGCTAAGAGACAGGTACTTGTCAGGTTATTTGTTCGGATACTCAGCCTGTTACAGTGCTCTCAGGTATTCTGTTAATGCAGGTCAGCTCAGGGCTTTGAGGGCATGAAAAGCAGTCATCCTTCATTCTGCCTGATAGGGTGGGGGAAAATGCATATTAGGGAAGTGTCTTGAAAAGAAGACCCTTGAGACAAGTGTAGGGGACGCAGAGGAGAAGGTGAGGAAAAAGGTTCTGTGGAATAACCCCACAGCACTTCCTGGAACCCACAGTGGTAATGCCATTTGTTGTCAACTAGCACCAGCTCTAGTGCTTAGTGGTAACAAGTTGTGCTGCCAAAGCAAAAGATCCAGCAGCTACTTTGAGGAACAAAGATGAGCAGTCTTTTCCTGTGTGATTTCCTGCCTCTGAAAACCTGCTGGAGGGTCAGCTATAAGTTGGTTCTGACTCTGCGGGATACGACAACATCCTCATTCGGGTCGGTCATTACCATTCATATGAGGTACTGCTGTACTTTAAGTTGTTTTTTAAGAGAAACTGGTTATGACCAAAAATAGAAAATTAGCTCATCCTGCGAGTATATTGAAATGCATTGAAGAGGGCATGCATATCCATGGTATATCTGTTCTAGAAAAAGTTATTAATTGCCAGAAATACATCTTCAGAATTATTTCTTCAAGTCCTATCTCATCTCCTACCTCTTTACCATGAGTTCTCATAAATACCTTGGAACTTTTGAATAATTCAGTGGGATTCCCAGTAAGGGACATTTATTTTGAATATTGCCAAATGTAGGTTTTAACTCTGGTGAGTAATAAAAGGAATGTCTTATTCAGTGGGTTTTCTTTGAAGGGGCTTCTGAAGCCACAGCCTTGGACAGCATGATTTTAGCATTGCCAGTGCTGGTGATGTGAAATGCATAACTATGGAGACAAGGTTGTCAAAGGGCTGGAAATTCTTATTTTCTTTTTCTTGTTCTCTGATCCTTTTTCCTTTTAGTTGGCAAAATATTTTCTTTTTAGTGGCAATTTATAAAGCCAAACATACATTCATTCATAATGTCTACGTGTTGAATACCGTTGAGTCAGAACCAACCCACAGCTGACCCTCCAGTGAGTTTTCAGCGGCAGTAAATCATGTGGGAGGTGATTGCCACTAAGCCACCAGAGACTTCTGTAGAAACAGTCCAGTAACATTGTTTACATAATTTATATTGGGTCATATTTTATCCCTCCTGAAATCCTCATTAACTTTGATGCTCTGTCTCTTAATATTCTCACTTGTGTTTTAGATTATTACTAGATTATACTCAGGGAGCTCTGGGGGCTGAAGGTAAGGAGTCATGCTATCAACCTAAAGGCACACACAGCTCAAATCCACCAGCTACTCTGAGGAACAAAAGTGGGCAATCTTCTGTGCAGTTTACATCCTCTGAAAACCTGCTATTAGGTCAGCTTTAGATAGTTCTAACTCGACAATACATAACAGATAATGCTCTCAGACAGTTCTTTATAAGATCCCTGTGCTTAATGTAAGTATTGCTTTCATTAGGTGGCATAGTGTGTAACATATTAATCTGCTAACTGAAAGAGAAAAATGAAACGAACTTTCCTCATCCCTGATCAGTTACATTGGAAACCCAGTGAAAGGGTGCTGCAAGTCTAAACTGACTCTCTGGCAGTGGGCATGGTTGTTTAAACATTGATTTCTTGAGTTTCAGTTCACGGTTGAATGATTATTTCTGGGGATTAATTTGAGAGGGTCCAGTAAGTCTGGTTTCCCATATGACTTTAAAATTTTGTTCTAGGCATTTCTTCAATTTGATCATGATCCCTCTATTGGCTGGACTCGGTTTTAAAATAAGAGATGGTCAAGAGAGAAGGTGTCTTACTTTTACATCTTCTATTGACCTGTGTTTCCATGTCACTGTAATTCGTGTATTCTGTAGCATAGCTGGACAATCTAATGTGACCATGTGCCTGTCTGCTTTCAGGGTAAGAAAAAGAAGAGGAAGAGAGAGAAGCTACAGGAATCCACCTCAGGTAGGCACCACAGGCCTTCCCAATTAATCCTTGTGCTCCCGACAAACACCTTTTAAAGTAGTCAGCATCTTTCCACGTACTGCTTTTTCTCTCTGACTATAATGTGATACATTAACTCTTCTTCCTGAAGTTCTTTAAACATTTTTCAAAAGATCCTTCTTTTAAATGTGACTGCCTGATCTAAAGATTGCTTTCCAAAGCCCTGTTCTCAAAAAATCCTGCTTGTTAACTGTGGTGGTTTTCCACATCTGTGTCTAACCGTGTACTTTGCTTTAACGTTTCTGCCTTCTTTCTACTTGCATAGCTCCTTAAAAAAATAATCTGTGTGTGTGTGTGTGTGTATATATACATATATATATGTGTGTGTATATATATGTGTGTATATATACATATATGTGTATATATATATATATATGTATGTGTATAGATATATAAGTGACCATTACACAACTATCTTGTATCCCTATGAGAATCTTCTCTGCAGTTTTTTTTTAAAATAGGAAATATAATAGGGATTTATCTTCTTTGCGTATTGATATAGAAAATAAGTGAGATCTTATTTACCCTGTTTTCATTTGCACAAATAAAAATGGCTGGTATAAGAACCATAAAAATAAAAAGTGCATCAGACAGGTCCACATGATATTGTAGCTACTACGTATTTGGAATGTACAAAAACCTCTTCAATAAAAAAATTGTTAAAGACACAATTTTCTGCAGGTACAGGTCCACGAATGACAGCTGCCTACATCTGAAACATGGTAAGAATGACTCTCTGGTCCTACTGCTGACATTAATTATGCAAGAGGCACTTGCTTGTGAACCCTTACCCACATCAGTTCCACTCAGCATCGCCCTGTCATGAGGAAAATGCTACCAAAATTAAATAAGTCTCTTTTCAGATCTGATGGTTTTTATACCGGCTACGTATTTGGAATATAGTGTTTTATAATACAATCTTTTCTCTCTTCTCTTCTCTTCCTCCCCCTTTGCACTTACTCTTTTTGTATTCCCTTTTGCTGATCTCTTTTTCTTGGCCATTCCTTACTGATCAGCAGAAAATCTGTCTGTTTAAAAAAATGATAAAAGGCAATAAACAAAGATGCCATCTTCCTCTACACACCCGAGGTAGGTTATAGCAGCACATTCTAGTTCAGAGATTTTGCTCTAAAGAGATTGTGTCTTAATAGAGAGACAAGATGTAGACACAACACGTAGAAAGTAATTCATTTGCTTCTCATTTCATAGATCAATGTGCCGTACATTTATTTTTCTGTTATTATTAAAATTACATCATGGGCTTCCTTGATTAACTATTTCTACTTACAAATATTCTCTTCACTGTAGAGATCTCACTCTAATATTGGAAAGTTAAATTTATTTTCATAGTCATTCTTTTATATTTGACTGTATGAATACTAGTCTAGGGAATTTGGCTTTGCAAACTAAGATGTGACCTTTGCTACACCTTGAATTGACAACATGTCTTCAATTTCTTCAAGGAGTTCACTTTCTCTTGCTAGGAACCTGGGTGGAGTTAGTTGGTCACCTATGTTCAGGGTCTGCCTTGACTCCTTCTTCTCAGAATCATTCCTGGGCCACAGCTTCAGCTCACGACCTCAGACTTCCCGTGTGTTGTATTGTAATGACGACCCTCGAGCTCCTGCCTGCACACTTGCTTTCTGCCAGTCAGCCCTCCACCTTGCCTCCTGAGGGGTTTCCTCAGATCAGCTTATGTTTAGGTTAGGTCACTTCTCACCTGGAAGTTGTCATTGCAGAGGGCAGACCTCTTAGCATGGAGGGACCCCCCTCCTCACAGTGTCACCTGTCGTTGCGTTTGCCACCCTGCCTCTTGTCTCCTGCAGCCACGCCTGAGGATCCTAGGCTCAGGTAAAACAAAACTATTATTAGCTCCTAGGATATAACTGCAAACATCTCCTTTCTGTAAGACAAGCTGCAGCTACCATGTTGCTTTCTCCTCATATTTTTTTTAAATGCTTAAGTGCCTCACCCCAATTCTAGAAAAAAACCAAAACTAATCCAAATCCAAAACGCCACAGAGTAGACTGTGACTGGCAGTGACTTTACGGGACTCTACCCTGCAGGGTTTCTAAGGTGGCGTGTGTATGTATGGGACCACATCTCTCACCTGAAGAGTAGCTGGTAAGTTTGAATCATCAACCTGTTGGTTAGCTTCTGAGTGCTTAACAGTGCACCACCAGGGCTTTTTTTTTCTAGAAAAACAAAGCCTCCGCCATGACCTTTCCCCTCAGGCTCCTCGTCAAGCTGCCCAGCTGGCTGGAGAGGCTCCAGTTGGTCGAGTTTCACTTAATCAGGGTCCTTAGTGTGACTCCCCCTTCCTTCCGGCTCGGTCATGCAGCCTTTGAAGTCGCTGTCCTCCAGACTGTCCTGTTTTGGAGAACAGAACTGGCAGTCACTTGAGGAGAACGAGAGAGCAGAGAGGAGCTCACGTTCACACTCACCAAGATTTTAGCACAGTGGGAAGAGCAGTGTTTCTGTTGTGTCTCCTTTCCCTTTTAATTTTAGGAATTTAGAAGCTCTTCTTTACTCGTTGTAGTTGATTTATTGCTTCATATTTCCTCAGCACATACTGAGTATCTAAAAAAGGCCAGGTTCAATTCTCATAGTGCTGACATTGTTGTGGGAGTGGTGGAGTCAGATAAACAAGAAAACATCAATGCTAGCATACAAAGAAAGCTGGGAGTGACAGGTGGTCAGGAAAGGCCCCTGTGAGGGGCAGGCACTGGCAATAATTATTTTTATCACAGGAAAATGGAGCAGTGTTCTGTGCATGATTCTGGAAAAGCGCAGTGGCTGAGAGGTGGAAAACAAGGGCATTAGTCCCAGGTTGTTTAATGAGCACAGGCTAGGAGCTAGGCTGCCTGGCTTAGAGACCCCAGTACCAACTTTAGGAACCGGCAGGCCGCTTAGAGTCTAGCTACCAGGTGTGATGTGAAGGAGCCTTTATAGATCCCTTTCTGGTTCCCTCTTGGTAGTCCGCTTTCCTGTTCTTGGTCTGCACTGCCTCCCAGTGTTCTTAAAGGATTCGGGTCCTTCGTCTCATGTATCTTATCTGTCATCACCTTTCTGTGCCTGAGTGGCGCTGTATAACTGTGTTATCCTGAAAATTACTTATGTACGATGCAAAGGTTCATCCCAATACAGACTATTGTCTGCCTCCCCCTTTTCCATGCCAGAACGAGGGCTGACATCCTGGGATACACAGAGGCATTGACTCTGGGGTGGGGAGCTGATTCTCCATCGATGGGGTAATGTGGGCTCATTATCTGCCAGACCAGTGACGCTGGTGCCGATTTCAAGCTGAAGAAGAGCCATTAGCCAGCAGAGATAAAGTATTTTATTAGAACCAATCCTATACAGAGTGTGATGTGAAATCTCACACAGCTGTTTTACAGCCTTTATTCTTTTCTCTTATTAAAGAGAGAAGGTTGCCGAGTGTTGGCTAAATTCTTCCCTTGTGAAGTGATGCTGATAGCACACAGTGCCTGGGCTCACATGAGACCATGGCTCCAGCATGAAGGGATGTTTGAGATGTGTGTCGTATGGACACAGTGAAATGTAACATCATCTTTGTGCCTTTGAAGAAAATTCTTACTAAAGTAGGTCTTCTGAGTTCAGATTTGCATGTATGTAACTCAGATGCTGGAAGGCCCCCATTGTTCCATCACTCTGAGCTATCATGGTACCATGAAACCTAAAGAAAAGATGTGAACAAAAACATCCTCTAAAAACTAGGACTTCTACTCCATAAAAAATAAATCGGGTTCGTGTACTGCTTGCTTGCTTGCTTTCTTTCTTTTGTGGGAAGGAACCATTTCAGTTGACACAAAGTTCAACGTAGAAATTGGCCTATTAACCTCACTGGGTTCTTTCTCCCTTGTGCTTCCGCTTGTGTGCACTCTAAGAGTATTCATCCAAAGAATTGAGGTTTAAACAAAGACATCAGCATTAGCAGAGACTCAACACTGTGCCGCAGCTTTGAGGGTAATTGGAAATGGGATTCCTAAAAGTCATTCCTTCCACTCTGAGATGTTTTCCCACCTCTGGTGTCTTTGGAGCTAATTTGTGTCTGTGAGAACACTGAGCCCTGGCCCTCCAGACAGACTGCACACATTATCCTGGGTCCAGGTAGAAGGCCAGTGCCGTAAATACCAGCCATATCTTTATTCCCTCTGCAAAAACATACGGAGTTCTACTCCCACAAGTCATGAGTTGTACTAGTGAGTGAAGGGACTTGGTGTTGAGACCCTGTCCATTCCCAGATTCAGGAACAGAGAACATGCTTGTGAAGGAGATGCATACAGGGCACTAAGTAAGAGAAAAGAAAACAAATCATACCTGGTCCAGTGGGACAGGGTGGAGCTACCCCAGAGAGTTTTCAGACTAAATCTTCTCAGAAGCAGATGACCACACCCTTCTCCAAGGAGCAGCTGGTGGGTTTGAACCACTCACTGACTTCTCAATTAGTCAAGCCTTAATCGTCATACAAATTAGAAAACAAACAAGTGAGAAGGCAGTAGAGGTGGTGTTCCTACATTGTGGACAACAGCTGCACTAACAGGCTAGGAAGGGCATCCTCGAAGGGCGTCCTTGGTGGATAAACTGGTGGTTGAGTTGCTACGAGTTGCCATTATTTTGGTACGTATTTGTTTTAGAATATGTGGCCTCTTCAAAGTTTGTCCGAGATTATGATCAAATGTTTCCATCAACTTCCTACATGATTTTTGACAAAGATTCATAAGGAACTGAAGCAAAGAAATGGAAATTTTGAAAAGCTGGTTATAATTAACACTATGTGTTTACTAGTTTAAAAACATTAAATTTACAAATTGCTTGCTTAGTTCATTTGACTTCAACAAAACAAAACAAAAAAGCTCAGTCTTACAATAATAGGAAAAATATATTTTTAGATATTTTTAATGCATTCCCTTTGATCGTATAATGTCAAAGAGCTAGTTTAAAAGTAGATAAAAGCCAGGCTCTGGAAAAAACTTTCTGTGGTTGCACACACATAGATGCCCACAGGCACTCCTACAGACACGGAGTCACCAGACAGACACACAGACTTCTCTGTGTTTTCACCTTTGGCCTGACAACTTGAAACATCTGACCTTTCAGTTACCTGCCAAGCCGCAGCAGCAGCATCAGTACTCCGATCTTTATCTTAGTAACTTGCTAAAATAAATGAAAAATTAAATCATAATTGTTACTCAGTGAAAAGTTCAGTCTTTATTTCTGAGAGGTCATTAGTAATGGATGGAGCATATTGTAGTTTGCTGTGATGTGCCATCAAGTTGGACCCCACTCTCAGCTGATTGTCCAGTAGGTTTCCAGAGGCTATAAATCATATGAGTGATTTACCCATGTGAAGGAGAGGGTGAAACCAAGTTTCTCCTTGGAGGCTAGGATTTTGAAGCCTCGTCTTATGTACTTTGGACATAAGACCAGGAAAGACCAGTCCTTAGAGAAGGATATCATGCTCAGAACAGTGGTGGGACAGCACAAGAGAGGAAGACACTGGGTGAGATGGATTGATAAAGTAACTGGAGCCATGGAGTAGGTGTGTCGGAGTCAGAGAGAGACTGGCTACTGGCTCAAAATAGGGCAGGGTTGTTGTACATAGGGTTGCAGGTGACTAGATGGCACGTAACACCAACCAGGAGAAGGAGGAGGAGATTGCCCATCTGTGGAGCAGTGGGTGGCTTCAAATCCCCAGACT